TTGGTTTCGTTGGTGGATTTTAACCGTTTAACTTATTTTTTAATTCACCCCTTAACTTTATTCCTGCAATTTGATAGTGTTCATTTTTTTTTTCTTTATTCTGGTGATTAGTTTAATCACAGTAACTTGCGATCTCTTGTTAATTGGTGCTTATTCAGTAGGCAATTTTGCAACTTTGTGCATTTTTTGGATGATAGCCCCTTTGGTGTATTTTAACCCTTTAACTTATTTTTTAATTTAACCCTTCGCTTTTATTTTTGCAATTTGACAGTATTAATTTTTTTTTTAATTTTCTCTTCATTCCGATGATTAGTTTCTTTGGGGTATTTTAACCCTTTGACCTGTAATCTCGTGTTAATCGATCCATACTTGATAAGCAATTTTTAAAATTTATATACTTTTATATACGCCCCACTCTGGACTTTCCGATCAGGCCATTTGATATTTCGGCCTTTTCCTTCCGCTGTCTGAAACTGTGCAACTACGGCGATAATTTGTTGAAACAAAAATTTTTCCTTTGCTCTATAGCGTATCTTGAACGTTACCTTTTTCTCGATAACAGTGACTTTTGCTATCTTATAAATATTGGAAGACATATAGGGTGAAGAGCAAAACTGTTAGTCTGGACAACGTGGGGCGCATACGGCCCACGCGGCGAGAACGGAAAGTCGCCGAAAATCGGCCCGGCACGGAACGTGTTAATAAGCCTTTCTATTGCGTTAAATCTTTACACTAAAATTAGCAGAAACCGAAAGAAAACGCCAAGAGTACCTCCACGCAGAATGGAGTAAAGGGTTAATAAGAAGCACTAGAATAATTATCAACATTTCCTCATAAACTCTAGCATTCACCGAAACGCCTAATAGGTCGGAACTTTTGCCCTTCACTGTACACGAAATAATTCCAGAGTGTGGTACACTATTATTAGAAGGTTGAGAGCGGTGATAATCGCGATCGAAAATGTGGATCACGAGAGAGTCTGGCAGAGACGATCTTGCCCGCGGTTAGAGTACTGGCAAGGCAAGGCAAAGGACGAAATTTATCGCGCGTTAATGCGCTTTAAACTCATTGGACGTAAATTTATCAGACGGTCGTGAGGTTCCCGCGCTGTCGCCGCGGGCTTGGCGTTTCGACGCCGCACCGCGGAGGAGGAAAGGCGAGGCCAGGGAACGAGGGACGCGAGAGTACAGAAAGAGGCGAGCATAACCGCGTCTCGGGTAGGTATGATGGACGATTAGTCGTGTGCCGTGACTATTAACTGTCAGGTATCCCTCTCCACTCTGTGTTTAACACTACCAGCTAGGAGAAACAAATCAATCAATCGTTTACTCCAATTTGTCTCACCCTTCTTGGAAATTGGGTACCCATGTTCTTTTAATGTTAGTCATTGGTAGGAATTTGCTAGAAGGAAAAATAGGTTTCTATACCTTTGAGAGGGAATAATTGTGCTACATTTTTTTTGTTAACCCTCTCACTGCTTGAGACAAAAGGTGTTCTAATATTAGCCTTTTTTGTGGTTGTATAACACGTGATAATAAGTTCAATAATTTATTAATAACTATAAACACACGTAAAAAGGAATAATGATAATCTGATCAACGGTCTCTTATCATATCTCGCAAATATTCTCGCGCACTCCCTGATATCAATAACAACGCGGTTCACTCCCTGTTTCTCTCTGTGATCCGCTCGTTTTCCAAATCTCGGGACGATTCGACAAACACACTACATTCACGCCATCACTCACAACATATTATTAAACCAATTCCACATTTTTCTGATAGAATTGTTACAAATTTCTATACTTCTGAGAGTGAAAAATTATGATACCCTTTTTTTTTATTATTTCTTTTGTGGATTTGGTTTTAATCATATGTTGTGTTTGTTTTGAATTTGTGTGAACGTTCTAGGATAGACATGATACTCGAATCGACTCGAGATTGGGGAAACGGGCAGTGTCCTAGAGAGAAGCAGCGAGTAAACAGTAGAACCGCGTTGTTAGTGAAAACAAAGAGAGCGAGAGCGTAAAAGAGAGAAAGAATAAGAGAGCATTGATCAGGTTATTAATTATTATCAAATATATTCGTATTAAACTTTCAACCACGTGTTATTCACCCACACCTTTCACTACTTGAGATAAAAAATTTTGTAATATTAGCCCTTTTTCTGATAGAATTGTTACGAATTTGCTGTAAAAAAAGATTTCTATACTTGTGAGAGTGAATAATTATGTTACATTTTTTTTGTTAACCCTTTCACTGCTTGAGACAAAAAGTGTTCTAATATCAGCCTTTTGCTGATAAAATTGTTACAAATTTCTATATTTCTGAGAGTGAAAAATTATGGTACCCTTTTTTTTATTAACCCTTTCACACCTCGAGACAAAAAGTGTTCTAATATCAGCATTTTTCTGATAGAATTATTATGAATTTGGTATAAAAGCAAATTTCTATACTTCTGAGAGTGAAAAATTATGCTGCTGTACAAAACAAATTATGCAAATTTGTGCAAATTATGCTCCCTCTATAGTGAATGAAACGGTTATCATTACACTGCGAATTTTTACGCATTTATGGAGAATTCGAAGGCACGAGAATATACAGAAAGTGATCACTCTCGGGTAAATTGAGTATCAACGTTTCCCCCAGTTTTTCCACCCTCGGTCGTTGAAAGGAAAACGTTACTTTTTGTTTCCTTTCAACGACGCAACGATAAAAAGTGTCGTTACGGTTAATAACGGGACGCCTTTGAATTCCCAACGTGGAAATTGATACATTCCCCCCCGTTTATGAGACACGAATAAAACAACAGCGTGCCAAGAATTATGGCGGATATTCATGGGATTATGGGAGACAGCGGTACGATTTAATAGCGCGACCATTTCCATTTTAGAGGGTTCGCCAACAATAAACATATTAACGGTTCCGTTACCGTCGTTTCACTAACAATACACGTTCCATTCACTCTGCACACTCGTTGGACGTGTTTGCAAAATTTCCTTAATTTTTTTATTACATTCAACCTCTCCGTTGAATAACGCCTCTCTTCGCTCTAATTTCTAATGGCAATCAACGTACCCAAAATATACAAACGTAATTTACATCTATCGTGGAACGATAGATTTTTCGGTAATCGATTACTCGAGGAATTTTCTCGAGCGAAGACAAGTTGGAAGAAAAAGGAACTCGTTGGACAGAACTTGTTGGATGGTTTCCAAGAAAGAAGCTAGCCTATATCGTGGTTATATGTTACCGGGTGAATGTAAAGCGAGGCTAGATCGTTAATTAACAAAAAACACGGCGTCGATTCGGCTGGAAGAGGATCGCGACAAGCCGCCCGGTAGCGTTCACGACCGTTCGACACGCGAACAACCTGGTCCACGGGTTAATCCTGCTTAATCCTCGATAAACTTTATTGTCGTTCATGTGATCCTCTTTGGTATCTTAAGAATCGTCCAACGGGGATAATGATATCGTGGAGGAACTAGTGGAAGGTTTTGTTGAACGAATTTTCAAATTGAGTCTCCCTTTTTTTTTTCGGTTACCTAAGCTCTGTAGGATTTTGTAGACTCGAACTGTTATTCGGAAATTCTAACTTTTACACAAGCTGAAATAACAAATAGAACAAGAATTATTTCGCTGTGTTTAATTTACCGAATAAATAAAATAGGTCGATTGATCCTGGGAAACTCAAGATTTTCGAAGGTTTAAGTTCAATTAAAAAAATAGAGGAACAATTATTAATTTTTTATACGGGTCACTGATGGTTCCGTTATTGCATTTGTTATATATATTACCTTTCCAATTTCACGTGACTTTGCACAAAGGACGCGTGGGTCGTCCATGGTCCACGTTCTTGCATTACATACATTATCTTTCCAATTTCGTGTGACTTTCCATTCAGGCCTCGTGGGTCACTCCTGACCCACGTTCTTGCACTCACCATCCATCATCCAAAAACAGTACACCACCTAAAAAATTGGAAACGTATTATTACACTATCTGGGTCATTTATGACCCACGATACCACAGTTGCTCTACGCACAATAAACCGACCTGTCCCACGCGATGCCCCACGTATCCTTGATCCTCTTAAACACGATTGAATGTGAACAGCTTCTACGTAAAATTCCTTCACGTTCCAGGACACCGAGAGGACCCCAGAGCGTGCAGCGACTGTCGCAAGGAACGATGGCGCGGAAGTGTGTGAAACGTAAGCGATATCCTTGTATCGAGGCAGCTTACCCGTTGGAAAGTCGCTTCTGGACACAATCAGCGTCGGGGGCATCGATTGCCGTACAGCAGCAAAGTCGTGGCGGCGGCGCGAGGCGTCGAATCGGGTGAAAGCTGAACGGTGTTGTCCAGGGGATCGATAGGTGGACGATCGACGATCGATTTCACGGAGATTACCGGACAGACGGATGTCTTGGAATTCGAGCCACGTAGCTGGAGGCTGAAACCTTTGAAGCTCGACTATCACATCGTAGCTGGATGATGCTTTCGCAGTCGAGAAACCGATCCGTTGGGGTTCGATTCAATTAGCGGTGGTTGGCTTTGGCTGTGCGCGAGGAATCGAACGGTGACGCCGTTGGTAGAAGAAGAACGAGAGAGGAGAGAGAGGAAAAAAAGAAACGAAGGAAAAGAAAAGAAATGAGGTTCGTCAAGCAGAGACGACTTGGAGGACGACGACGACGGTGGTTCGCGTGAAAAGAGGCAACGACGAAATCCTATTAATCGAGATGAAATCTCATTAAGACCTCGTCTCTCTCTCTCTCTCTCTCCTCGCCTTTCTCGAGATTGTAAGAGGGTGAGACCAGTGATTCGTTGCCGTGGAAAATTAACTGAAACGAGAGAAGCGTAAGAGGGAGGAGGATAAGGTGAGCGAGAAGGGAAGAGAAGCAAAAGGTGAACCATTTGTTGCGTGAAACGAAAGAAACCGTTGGTTGGTTGGGACGATTAGAGAAACACACTTTTCCGTGGCACTAGGCTTCCGGGATTAATATGTGCTTTGGACGAGTGCCGCGAGCTGGAACTTGCCAGACAGGCGTGAACAGTGAGGACAGCTGTCGAAAGGAAGACGAGGGCTTGTTCTGGCCCTGGTGGTATTACACCGTTGGAATGGGGATGTTATTGCCCGATGAGACTTACGAGGAACGATCCTCGTCCTCGAGACGAAGCTCCTGTCCCAATGTTTTGGCGGAGATCGACGAAGTTGAGGCGGCGAAGGCTTTAGCTGCGTTCAGGAAGTGCGACGAGTTCCTCAAGAGGCACAGGATCAGGCCTGAGTTCTTCTGCAGGCACAGGGAGAGACTGGCGTTGCAGACTTGGCTGTTGCAGAGGTCCAAACTGTCTTCCGGTGAGTCTTCGCATCTTTGCTTTTGTTCTATTTTTATTAGGACGTTGTTCCATCGATTTTTTAAACATTTTCTGTGTTCTGGGACGAGTAAGATTTTTTTCGAAGGCTCGATCCATTTTGAACACTTTCGTTTGTTTTCAAAGCGTTGTAATTATTTTTCTTAACATGGGAAATTTGGAAAAGTGAATCTCGCGAGAAACGGGGTGTTACATTTTCTGTGTTCAGAGATAGGTAAAATGTGTTGGAGGATTCAATCGATGAATTTTTATTCACTATTGGAAATTTGCAAAAGTGGATAAATTGTTTTTTTGAACGTCTCGGATAAACGAGGTTTTATTATTTTATTAGTCCAGCAAAAATGAAACGAAACCTTACACAGGGTGGCCCGTAGATCGCTTCACAATATTTTATTGTGATATATTTATTGTAATTATGTATATTTTCAAATTTTTCTCCCGGAAATTTGAAAGAAAAGTCCTTCAATTTTGAATGGTGCAGCGACATATGGGTCACCCTCGTCAAAGAATATTTCAAATTTTACACAGCCGAGCCCTGTTAACGACGAGTAAAATTAGCGTAGTTAAACGTACGAAATCGATATTGAAAAGAGAAAGGAAAACTAGAAACAGGGGAAAAAAAGGGAAGGTGTAAGATCGATGAACGGGGTTGTTCTACAGCGTTGATGGAACACAGTTCCACTTTATGGGACTTTATGGGACGGTTGCCGCGATGCACCTGGCCAGGCGAAAGGCTTCATGTCGCACGGTAATAGATTTACCGTAGGAGGGTGGAACAATCGCGGATGACAATTTACGGGGAGCGCGGCCCGTTTCCAAGCTGTTCCATGCATCGAAAAATAGGAACGGTTAAATTGACCGATCGGGAACGAGACCGGTTAAATCGACGTTTCTCGTTACTTTCACCGACGGTTATTTTGTTGCCGCGGTTTTTTCGCGCAATGAAACGCGTCGTTCCGGTAATTGGATACCCCTTTCCCCCGAATTTACGCGCTTTCGCCGACGTGAATCCGACAGAACTCGCGTTGCCATCGTTCACATTTACATTCAATCTTCCGACTTGAATATTCGTTAAGAAATAGGACGAGTGCACCTCATTTCGCTTGTTAAAGTTCGAGTTGGATTCAATTCGAGCGCAGTCGATAATCTTTGCGCCTAATTTCACGTGTTAAAATTCGAGCGCAGTCGGTAATCTTTGCGCCTAATTGCGCTTGTTAAAATTCGAGCGCAGTCGATAACCTTTGCGCCTAATTTCGCCTGTTAAAATTTGAGCGCAGTCGGTAATCTTTGCGCCTAATTTCACGTGTTAAAATTTGAGCGCAGTCGGTAATCTTTGCGCCTAATTTCACGTGTTAAAATTCGAGCGCAGTCGGTAATCTTTGCACCTAATTTGCCCAATTAAAATTCGAGCGTTATCAATAATCTTTGCACCTAATTTCGACTATTACAATTCAAGTCGATTTCAAATCGAGTGCAGTCGATAATATTTCCATCTAATTTCGCCTATTAAAATTCGAGTGCAGTCGGTAATCTTTGCACGTAATTAGTCTTTAATGAATTTTTGCGATTCTACTTCAGCCGAATTAACTTGGAAATTCTGTTGGAGTGAAATTTAAATTACGCAGAAATTCTATAGAATTCCAAATTTTTGACTAAATTTATCGTATTAATTATACTAAAATTTGATTATGTTTAACTTTCTAGTTTATCGTCACGTATAAATAAAAACTAAAATAAAAATCACTCAATGGTACAATTAAAAAAAAAAAAGCAAAAAATAGAAGAAATTCGTGTATCGTTAAATTTTGAACGATCGAGTTGTCGAAAGCGTGTTGTCGTTCTAAAAAAAAAAAGCAAAAAAATAGAAGAAATTCGTGTATCGTTAAATTTTGAACGATCGAGTTGTCGAAAGCGTGTTGTCGGTGGGTTTTTACGTCGGTGGCGCCGGAAACAGAGGTGAATCGATAGGGAATGGAGTGAGTTGGATAGAGGCGCCGAGCCGCAGCGGTTCCTCTCTTTGATGTTAATTTCGATTTCGACGGCGGTGATAATTTCGTTAGCCAGCCGTACTTAACGATCGCGGGCCCGTGAAACCCGTGGAATTTTCACAGTCCCATGCCCGAAAACCGGAGGGCATTAATTTTTGTTTTTAACGAGCTTTACGTATTTACGCGGCGGCTTGCATTAGCGCAATTGATTTAATGTGGCGCCATTAATCGAGCTCGTTCAAGCCTGTGTAAATTATGAATGGAAAAGTTCATTTGTCCTCCCACTCTTTCTTTCACACCGTTCACACACACGCGCACACTCGTCTCCCTTTGCATCGCTACCGGTCACGTTCCTCCTCCTCTTCCTCCTCTCTTTATTTCACTTTCGTTTCAGTTAGGTTTCACGACTGTACAGCCCGCGGCTGTCAGACCTTTTACGCAATTATTCGTCGCGAGAAACATCTCCTGTCAAGGCCAGAGTGGAATATATCGGTGTCGTGACTAATTTATCGAGACGAGATATTATGTTTGTACAAGATGAGGACAGGTGCTGTACCACAGCGTCGTAAAATGTTGGATAAAATATTCAGCTCGTTGCCGAGGAATTTTTTAATGCCTTTTGAGAAATCCTTCTAACGTCCACCGTTGCTTTATTGTAACAAGTTTCTAATTCACCGGGGTGATAAAAGATTCTTAATTGCCGTAATTATCTTCGTTAATCTGGAGAAGTAGCTTCTGATTCGTTGAATCGATAATAAGTTAGAGATAAACAGATTTTTAGACGCTACAGTTTTTTTTAGATATTTAGATAAAATTTTCAGAGTACCTAGAAAAATTCTTCGAGTGTGAATCGAGTGAGTTGAAACGGGTTAAGAAGAGCATCCGTATTTTTCTCCCTGCACGGTGACAAATTTTCTACGATTATTTTCCCTTTATTCCACTTACAATACCCGATAAAATCGTCGCGGTTTTATATATCAAAGATAAGGACAGTAAAACAAGGGCGAAGTAGTCTCGATTAAAACACTCGGAAGTGCGAGTAAAAACTGTTGAAGCCACGCGACACGGTTAAACGGGATTATTACAATTGTTGTCATTATCATTGTAGTTTAACCGGGGAAAACAGCTGCTCGCGAGAGTTGGTGTAAAATTTTGCGGGTCTCGTAATACCGCGTGTTTTAAACACTCTCCTCCGCGATGAGGAGGAGGTGGAGCAGACGAAGGGGGCTAAGAACGTTCCACGGAAATAAGGTCTGTGTGGCCAGGACAAGAATGTAATTAAACCGCGGAGGGGAACGCCAATTACGTTTTCCACAGGGTTTCGCGTTTTTACGCGTAGAATTTAATCCGAACGGATTACGGTCGAACGCGAGGAACGTCTCGCGGCTTCCGGTTTTGTCGCTCAAAGGCCAGCCGTGTTTCACCGACCACGCGATCTTTCTCAGAACTTTGACACGGTAATAAATATTTGGGTTACAGCGTCGCGAGAGCTTTTCCGCGAAATCCTGTGGAAAGCCTCCGCTAGACTTCAAATTGAAATTAAGTCGCGTCCACGAGGAACCGTATTCGACGCTTGTCCCCGTGTCACGGACTTTCACAAAGGTTTATAAGCTCCTCCCCTCTTACCTTAATGCCTCCACCCTCTGTTCAGGTTTCGAAGTTTTCTGTGTCTTTGAAATGGTTGCGCGAGATCGCGGGTGAATCTATTTGGAAATTAAAATTCTGTTTGGAAATTGGCTAGAATTAGGATGGTTTGTTTGATTTATTTTTCAGGATGCTGTAGCTTTTTGTTTGTGACATGATAGAGTTTGTCGAGACGAATTGAACGAGGTGTCGCACTTAGTCATTTCGTTTTTTGAAAAATCGTAAAATAGTGGAGAATCGGGGTGTCGAGTCAAGTCGAGTCAAGTCGAGTCTATTCGAATCAAGATGAATCAAGTTGAGTAGAGTCGAGAGTCGAGTGAAATCAAGTCAACTCAAGCCAAGTCAAGCTGTCTCAAGTTTCGTCAAGGCGAGTCAAGTGGAATCAAGTTGAGTAGAGTCTAGAGTCGATTGAAGTAAAGTCAACTCAAGCCAAGTCAAGGGGAATCAAGTTGAGTAGAGTCGAGAGTCGAGTCAAATCAAGCCAATTCAAGCCAAGTCAATTTGTCTCAAGTAGACTCAAGTTGAGTAGAGTCTAGAGTCGATTCAAGTAAAGTCAACTCAAGCCAACTCAAGTTTTCTCAAGTCGAGTCAAGTCAAATCAAGTTAAGTTGAACCATTTTGTCTCAGTCGCTTTTGGTAGAGCTTGACTTGGATTGCTCAGGAATTTCTTTCACCTCCTAAACTTTTCACCGAGGCACACTAATTTTCAGTGTCCCAACGTTGTCTAATTAAGATTCTTTGACGCGTATTCGTCAGTTTTCCACGCGTAAACGTCACGAGTCATAAAACTCCCGATGTTTCGAGTTATTACAGCAGTTTAAGTGGTACCCTTACATCATCACCACCGCGAATAGAGTTTGCCTATATCAGAAAGCTAGTTGGTAATCTTGTCTGACGCTCTCCACGAGTGTAGAAAGTTCTCTACTAGGCTTGGTATCGTTAAAACGGTCTGTTAACGAACTTTCTACCCTTTCGTCGTAATCCTCTGTCTGTGCGCGCTGCATTTTACCTTTGACATCGTTCATAGTGAACGAGTTTAATAATAACAGTATATGTATATTCTATCGTTGAAGCATAATTTTTGCTTCCTCCATTAAATCGTCACGTATTATTTACTATTTTTATTACATCCAAATTACCAACATTAGCTTACAAAAATTACAAAATATAATCACTCTTCAGCCATTAG